CAGAATGTGAGGGTATTTTCTTTCAGAGACAGTTTCGAAATGAAAGAAATGTAAAGGTCCAAATATTTCAGATTACCTTCTCAACCAGACGTCCTTATGATTTCAGCGCTGTCTGATAAGGGAAGAAACACGCGGTTTTGTAAAGCGCTGGGAAGCTTACAGGGCAGTGTTCGGTCTGAGTCCGCTCTAAGGTGGCCCCGAAACCAGAATCCGTCACCCTGCCAGACCTGCGCGTTCCCAAACACCGCCCAGGGCCCCTCCGGGCGCCAAGGCACGTGGGCCCTACGTCCAGCTCTGGAATCAAGCTGATTCCAGAACAAGGCCTCGCTTTCCCAAAGACAAGGGGAGGGGAAGGTAGCTAAGCAAGTCCATCTTTTCAAGACTTCGTGGGTCGGTCACCAGTCTAGTGTTACCAACAGCCCCACAGCAGACAGAGCCTGGCCGAAGGGGCCCCTCCTCTCACCTCTCAGACCTGCCCCAGCTCCCACCTCACCAGCCTCTCACCCTTCTGGTCCTAAAAGTGGGTGCTGATAAAACAAGTAAGACGTGGGGAAGAGAGAACCCTGGGTTCTGCAAACTTCGCTGAGAAATAAAAAAGTGGCTGGAGAGCTCATTTGCTCGCGAGAATCAATCGGCGGCAGCCCTCACCCTAAGAGAGTGTTTGTACCTTTTACTACCTGTTCAATGCCGTCATTTTCCTATAAATGAGATACGGAGAAAATGAGAACCAGGCCATCGCACAGTGACTTCCTGCTGCTTTGTTGTGAACAGGGATGGCCCCCGTGGAACCACATAAGCTGCCACTGCCTCCCAGAGTCACTGTTAGCCACGTGTGTCTCCACGCCCTACTCACCCGTTAGGATGGATTCTAAGAACCACCCACAGAACATCTCGCACAGCCGGACGTTAGACCCCGGATCACTCCTTAAACACACGCAGAGGGTTCTTCCCAATCGGTGCGGGTGCCTGTAAGGAAGGGTGAGGCTGGGCCACACACAGGACACGAGAAATGGGAGGGGGGGGGGAGATGACATTCAAGGCACACTCATTGCAAGCAGAATTCACAGACACATGCAGACAGAAGACAACTTACTCTCCTCCGAGACCAGCTATGGCTTAACCCCAAGTCTGAATTAAAGAAACCTTCAAGGTAGATGAAGCTGCCTGCTTTAAAAAGGCAGTAATGCCCTGGCTGGTGTGGCTCAGTTGGTTGGAATGATGTGCCGTACACTGAAGGTTGGGCAGGTTCAATTCCCGGTCAGAGCACATACCGGGTTGCGGGTTCTATCCCCGGTCGGGGTGTGTATGGATGTTTCTCTCGCATCGATGTTTCTCTCTCACCTCCCCCTCTCTAAAATCCATGGAAAACATATCCTCAGGTAAGAAATGAAAAAATAAGAGTAGGAATGTCTTCAGCTGAGTCACAAAGCTCTCATCAGAAGCCTTCCAGCACAGGGTGGTCAGACACACTCCATAGCCACCCAGGGGCTTAAGCGTTCCTACCAGGGGACAGTAATGGTACCCAAAGGGCCATGAGTGTTGTCCACCTCCCCAAGCCAAGCCCTCGGAGCCACGCCGGGCCCTCACTGTCTTCCCTGTGGCCAGGCTGGGCTCTGCTGATGCCAGCCCTTCAGTTCAGGTTGCCAAGGAAGACATGGATAAATATTGGGACTGGGCAGGTTACTACATTCTTGCCTTTTTCTAGGCAAAGGTAATCTCTCAAATATATTTTTATTGATTTCAGAGAGGAAGGGAGAGAGAGATAGAAACATCAATGATGAGAGAGAATCATTGACTGGCTGCCTTCTGCACAGCCCCCACACTGGGGACTGAGCCCGAAACCCAGGCATGTACCCTGACCGGGAATCAAACCCGAGACCTCCTAGTTCATAGGTTGATGCTCAACCACTGAGCCATTCATGCCGGGTTCTTATGAGATTTTAACCTATAAATGCCTTGGTCCTTCCCCAGCTTTGTATGGAGCCAAGTGCCTTTGCGCTTTCATGATTGCAATCTCTCTGTATGAAAGGGAGAAGGTATTTCCTTTCAGGCCTTCATTCAGTATAAAGGGAAGATAAAGGAGAATCAGAGAGAAAAAATACCACATCCACCAAATCCGAGCCAAGATAAACTTTCTCTGAAGACGTCAGTGTTTGCATCCATCTAAAACCACCAAATGCTTGAGGGTTTCAACCATACAGTCGCTAGGAACAAATTCAAATGCACAGAGCAACTGTAGCTCTCTTCAGGTTTGGCACAGACCATGAAAGCCATTATCATCCCACCAGAAAATTGAGAAACACTAAGACTGCCTCAGTCTGAAAACACCCCAAAACAAACTGACAGTGACCCATATTGAAACTATTAAATGCAAAAACACGCTTCCTTTAATTTGCCAAAAAAAAAGAAGTGCCACAGGCCCCCCGAAATCTAGATGGTCTTGTTTGGACAGAGGCAATGTAAGAGGAACGCAGGCGTCTTTACATTCACCTGGACAAGCACATACCCCTTCACACCTTCGCACCTCCACACTGCCACAGGTGACGAGACGGTGCATCACACCAGCTAGAGAGCTCATTAAATAGAAAGAAATATATTTACAAACTCCATGGGAGAGCCTCATGGCACAAAGGATATTAAATAGTTACAGGGACATAAATTATTCCAAAGATTCTAACACTAAGATGCACGTTAACTCCTAACTCGCTCTGTGGCCCTCGGTGTCATCACTCTTCCTCATCATCCGCCGTCACAGTGTCCGAGGCTGCAGATTGGCGTCTTGCAGCCGACGGCACAGCCCAGGAGGCCAGGAGGCTCCTTTCCCCGGATGGTAAACTGGTCCCATGCAAGTGACTTGGGAAAACTTGGGCAGCAATCCTGCCTGAATGGTATTCTTTTCTTCAATCTCACTTCAAAGGCAGCTTTTTATTGAGGCCAAGAAACATGATTCCCAGCAGATTTCTGATAACGTACAGGGTGGTCCTTCCAAGTGGGCCCCATTTAATGCCAGGCCGAGTCTTTGTGACCCCCTTTTTAAATGGAACTCACAGAGTGAGATAAGCCCAATTTTGATTAGGCATACACACTCAACAAATGCAAAATAAATACATAAAATGAACAGATAAAACCCAGATGTTAGAATCTCCTCAAAAAATCACTATATAGAATAGGTTCAAAGTGTGTGAAGCGTGACCTGTACTGCCTCAGGACAGACACGGAGAGAGGGCTCCATCAGGCCCTCTGGGCAGCGCGCCCCGCTGTGACCAGGCCTGGCTGCTCTCTGGGGGAGCAGAGGGAGGTGAGTTACCCCCAGACCAGCTGGGTCTGCACCCGCAGCCATGGCCCCTGAAGCAGACAAGGGGCTTGCACACGTGACCTGGACCGGTGCCCAGGGCAGGAACTGCAGCAGAACTCAGATTGTACCGAGTGTTCAGTTCAGGGAGCTGACCCCTAACCCCGCCCCCTCAGAGACAGCATAGTACCATTTCCGAGGCATCCCCAGCCACCTGATCAATCCCCCAGCGCTGCTCTTTCTCTCCTCCCGCCACCCCCGAAGACATACCCCTGTTCTCTCTCATCACACAGAACGCTGCCAAGGCTGGATCGCTCGCTAGCACAAGCTCCTGGGGGTTCTCCGAGTTACTGCGAGATCTTCCCACTTTCCCACCAGCAGTAACTGTTTTTTCCTTGGTGAGAGCTAATCACAAAACATTAGAGCTAGAGTGAGATTTGTAAACATTAAAAACAGCTCAGAGTGAAAACCTGACAAGTTAAAACAATTTTCCCATAAAAGGTACAATTAATCTCCAACAGGAAGAAAAAGACAACAACACTACAGCATCACAGGGGCTCATTTAACTCCTTCACCACAATAATCTTCACTTTATCAAGAATCAGTTCAAAAATCTGACAGACCTAGATTTCTTCCCAACAACCTCCAAGATGTATGATCATAGTTAGGGCCCTGGAAAGCTTCAATTCATTCGTGCTTCTCAAATATCAATGGAAGGATGTCATGGTGCAAATTCAAGTATTTTCGAATCCTAGACAAGTCTACACGGAATCACTTTAGAGCTCTTCTCAGGTCACGGAAGTGTGCACGTATCTAAAACAAAGGGGTGTCCCCACCTGCGGTCCAAACGGGCAAGTGTCTGGCTGGCGGGATGGACTGCGTTTCTTTCCTGGATTTTACCTGTGGAGGTAAAATGATAGGAAATCTGCAACGCAGCCTCAAAGCATTAAGGGTAGTCAGGAGAGCGAAAAACAAGATGGTCCCCATATTCCTGGAGGAGAATCTGGGATTCAGGGAGGTGATTCATTTGAGCAAGAATCGAGTGTTTTCTCAGCAGGTGGGAAGTGAAAGGTAACCCTCCTGCATGTCAACAGTCCTGTGAGCTGTACCAAGGGGACACCAGCTTTGCCCATCCCCAGGAAGTCCAGCCCCAGCCCAGCGCTCCGCCAGCACACCCAGCACTGCAACCCTCAGTGCCATGCGTGGCTGCCGGGCCTGTGCTGGCTGTCTCAACGCCCGGGGCATGGAAGACAAGCAGTAGGGGGCATCCTAGCAGCAAAGACTAACGCTGATGGAGCGCACTATGGGGGCTGCCCAGGAATCACTGCTCACGGACTGTTCCAGCCTTGTACCTTCCTTCCTTGACTTCCCCCCTCGTGGCGGCCCCCATTTAATCCAAAGTCTTGACTTGTCACAAATGCATATGACAGGGTGGCTCAGTCAGATGGGGAGGAAGCCCGTGCTCAGGGCCGGTGGAGACCTAAAGTGGACATGGCAGCCAAGGAGGCCGGCTGCTCCCACAGCCACCAAACGCTGGAGAACCCATAGAGTCTCTCCCGCCCACTTCTGTCTACACAGCAGGGTGCAGGGGCTCTCGGCCTCACATACCTGCTAACAGGGCCACTCTGGGGGGGGCGGGGGACCTTTCCCAAAATGAACTTTACCAAAGAGGACAAAATTCAGCTTAAACACATGAGAATCTGTCGTGACGAGGGAAAGAAAACTTGATTGAAAGGACGGGCACGAGGATGAGGGAGGACCCTGCTGGGCCCTCATGTGTCCAGGCGCTGGATCTCCGGGCGCCCATCCACGTCCCGGGACTCGGTGCGGGCTCGGATGTAGTCATTGGCGCTCTGCTGGTGGATGCTGACTCTCCATTTCTGCACGGCCAGGAATGTGTTCACCGCATACACCGCTGTTGCCAAGAAGCCAAATATCTACGAGAAACAGGCATGGATAGTCCTCAGACACATCAGCAGTCTACGAGGTGTCTGGGCAGGACCCTGAGCGGCTTACAGCTATGCCCCCAACACCTGGCCCGGCTAAATGTTTAGCTGTCAGACCGTGGCCAAATCTATAGTCATGTGACCCACAGAAGTCCTCCCTGACCTGAAGACAGCCTAAGGTTTCACACAAAGTATTTTGGATCTTTCTTTTTTATTACAAAAATGCCTTTTGCCCAGCCGGTGTGGCTCAGTGGTTGAGCATCAACCTATGAACCAGGAAGTCATGGTTCGATACCCAGTTAGGGTACATGCCTGGGTTGTAGGCTCGATCCCCAGTAGAGGGTATGTAGGAGGCAGCTGACCGGATGATTCTCTCTCATCATTAATGTTTCTATCTCTCCCTCTCCTTTCCTCTCTCTGAAACCAATAAAAACATACTTAAAATCAATTAAAAAAATTTTAATGACTCTTTTACAGCACCTTCATGGTCACTGGTCCCAGATGAGAAAATACATGTAGACAAAATCCCATGCACACAAAAAATCAGGGGCTCAAGTATAATAACAACTCAAGCCATAAGGCCTGACATTCTTGGAATGTGCTCTGCATTTCTGTATTGTTCTGTATTTACAAAGAATATGTAGCGTTTTTGTAATGGGGGGGATTAAAAGGTTCCTGAAAAATATTAAACGAGCTGCTCTCCCAGGTGTCACTCAGTAGATTCATCAGTTGTTATTAACTAAGCCAAACCTGCTGCTTCTCACCCTGGAGCTGCCCAGGTGACAGGCAGCTGGAGAGCAGGTGGGGGTTCGAGGGCTGTGCTTTGCACAGAGACAGTTTGGTTCCCACCCCACCCCCCAGGGCACTCTACCCTGAAGAGCAAAAATGTCATCTGACTACTAAGACCGCCACACCAGCCAGTAAGGCTTGATAAAGCAACACCACTAACAGACAGACATCCAGGGTCCTGGCGGAAACAGTCTAGAGCAGTGGCTCTCAAACCTGAGTGTGCCCCTGAATCGCTGGAGGCAGGTTAAAACACATTTCTGATTCAGTAGCTCTGGGGGAGCCCGAGAATGGCATTTCTAACAAATTTCTGGGTGATGCTGAGGCTGCTGTTCCGGGAACCACACTTTGAGAACCATAGCCCTGAAGGGACTGGGACCTCCATTGGCCCAATAACAATTTCATTAGCAAAGAAAAAGCTAAAGGATAATGAGTAGGACACATATTAGGAGACAGAGGAGAGCAAGTCACAAGAAGTACACAAATCAGCCCGTGTTTTAACCACCTGGGTTCACCTACCACGGCAGCAATTTCTGCTCCGGCTTTGTGGTTTAAAGCAGCCAATACAATGGAAGCAATAAAGAAAAAGAAAGTGCTGAGTCCAGTGTTGACCAAATCCTAAAGAAAAAGATAAATAAAATCACTTGAAAAGAAGCATCTCATGCTTTGCCCTGAAAGCCATTGAGGAACTTTCAAAACAAGCACAACACCCAGCCTCTGTGCTGGCTCCACAGTTTCGCCTCAATGGCCCGGGGGTGTTGGTTATACAAGGAAGGCAGACACCGTAACAGTGTCTGATGCTACTGGATAAACCACCACAGCAAAACCCACGTCACCATTTCTCAATGACTTATTACAGAAACCTGACCTGCTGACCTATCGAGGACGTGCACACTAATGGCCACTTCGAGTCCTATTGCTGTCTTTTAAAAACTCACTCAAATCATCCTGGCATGTGGAAGCTTTTCTGCAGACATGTTTTCATTTCTCTTGCGTGATCACATGGTTTTATTTATTCTATTTTAATATCTTTATCTTCCAGTTTTTCTATAACAACCTCTTATCACTTGCACAGTTTAAAAAGCTTAAAACCGGAGTACTGCTGCTTGAGCTCCTTGGCCATGAAATAAAACCAAGGCTCTTACTGTGTGTTGTTCCACCTAGGGGCATATCCAGGCATGCCCCCAGATGTGGATTAGGGGGTGGGGAGGGGGGATATTAGTAAACATTGGTATTAAATTTTTTAAAAATGCTTTTAATGGGCCCTGGCTGGTTTGGCTTAGTGGATAGAACATCCGCCTAAGGACTTAAGGGTCCTAGGTTCGATTCCGGTCAAGGGCCCATGCCCAGGTTGCAGGCTTGATCCCTAGTAGAGGCTGTGCAGGAGACAGCCAGTCAATGATTCACTCTCATCACTGATGTTTCTAGCTCTCTCTCTTTCACCCTTCCTCTCTGAAATCAATAAAGATATAACAATAATAAAATAAAATACTTTCAATGGGCTGTGTACTCTATAAGATGCATGTTTTCCAGTTTGCCACAGCTGTCCCCACTCCCTGCAGTCTCATAACCAGCCACTCTGTTTCCTGTTTGGCCCCTGAAACACCACAGCTGCCGCCCTCCTATGCTAACAGAAGCAAAGGAAGGTCACCCTCACATACACATGTTTCCAAGTCCCTCCTCCAGTAACACACCAGTAAGTACAGGTGTGAGCCCAAGTAACTCCAATAACAGATCAAGGGGATCTGGTCTAGAGGGTGCTAACTCCAGGCCTATTGGCCATATCTGGCCCACAAATAGGTTTGATTTGTACAGTGTTCAAAACAAATTTGAACAAGCTAGTATTTATAAGATCAGAGGTCTACACATAAAAACTAACATCTAAAACAAAACAACTATAAAACCTACAGAGCTTGCCTTTGGGGGGAGGTTTATGAGGTTCTCTCTGCTATCTGTTTACTACGCTATCAATTTAGATCACAACTCTGTAAGCATTTTCCTGTGGATAACACAAACTTTATCTTAAAAATAGTTGAGACATTAAAACCTGTCATAAAAACTCAGACAAAATGCCTCCACTATCTTGAGGTTTTGGAGTTTAAATTTAAATCACATTTTTCTCAGTGTCCAATGCTGAGACAAAACCGAGTCTTCAACTGACATCAACTTTCCTGGGTCAGCTCTGCTCTTATTTTTCCTCCTAAAAGAGTCTGAACAACACAGAGAGCCTCCTGTCGGAAGACCCTCTCCTCTGAACACCCCACAGGATCACCTGGGAGTGGCCCTGCGAGGCAAGGTGACCAGCTCCGGCCTCCTCCCCACCTCCCTCACAGGGGCCACACTTCCATGGTGCTGCACCAGCCGAGAGGTGCTCTCCTGAGGCAGCTGGTCTCAGCGTCCTCCCCTCCTCTGCTGCCCTCTTAGAAGCTGTGGGGCCCACGGGGTCTTCCTCCCACAGGCCCAGAGGCTGAGGCAGCTGACTGCTTTCCTGTGTTTCCCTGAACGATTCCCTCTGAGCTCCGGCACATGCTCACTTGCAGAGAAATACCAAGAAAACCAAGTGCTATTAAGTTTCCCCTCGTTTAGCACAGTAAAGACAAGTAACACACGTCCAGGAAAAGGGGCCTGGGAGTGACCAGCCAGGAGCTTCCCATGCTGATTGGAGGGCAAGGCTGTCAATCAGGGTTAAGAACCCAAACCACAGGGAGAAGAGGACACATTTCCAGTCAAGACTGATCAAACACCACCCTTCCTTCCAGTCCTCCCAGTTGCTTTGAATGTGCTAATATCCTCAGGCCTTGCAAGTTATTGCCATTTTCATTCATAGTTTCAATTCTTCCCGAATCAATACTTTTATAAATGGCTTTTGGGTCCGGTGTGAAAAATATGCAAAGATGCATTAATTCTATTTTCTCTTTCCCATATTCTGTACACATATCAACATCACTAATCTCAGAAGATCATGAAATTGAAATGATATCTTCAAAGAGGTCAAAACAATTGTTAGGATGTTTCTGCCATTAGTGAAGATTCCATTTAAGTTGTAGTTTTATTCAACTCAGGAAAGAAATGTAACATTTCACAGCTGAATGACAGTGGAATATTTCAGTACCGCAATGAACTGGAACCAAACACGACATGGAGCGGTTCCCACTCTCCCTGGAGCCAAGCAGCAGCCGATCCTTTCACAGTTGGAGGGCGGTGACTTGTACTCACCGTCAGGTTCCAGTTGATCTGGGGGATCCTCATGTGAAGGTTGAGACTGAACAGAATCAGCAAGACTCCAGTCACCACAAACGCACTGCAGCTCACAAACTCAAAAAAGTAGAGGCCTTCACACGGGGAGCATTCCATGATGGTCTCTATGCAGATGAACGCAATCAGGGCCAAGATCTAGGAAGAAGATTGGAAACACATCATGTGTCTGTAGGTTTAGTACACATCCGGGGACACAGGTGCCTCCCACATTTAAATAAAACCCACCGCCGCCACCATATGCAGCCACAGAGTTTCCCTCTGGGGACGGCAGTTATCACTGTCAGGAGTATGACCTGGTTCAATTCTTACGTGAGGATGTAAAGGTATAGAGCCGTTATCAAATTCCTCGTGTGGACAGCTAAGCCCCACCACAGTACACCGAATCCAGTCTGTGACGGTGTAGCCCTTGCGAAGAAGCAGAAAGGAATGTCTCTGTGATTTTTTTTTTTTTACTAGTAGTTCTATCTCTGCCATGAGTAAGTGGACACAGTCTACACAGGTTTCTAATTTATAGTCTCTACTCTAAAAAGGAGGCCCATTTAGTTAATTCATGAGCTACGGTTTTTAAAAGTTTATCATTGGACTGGATCACAAAAAGATAGACTGGCAGTTGATAAAAATCATTGTTAAATATATTAATAATAGAATCAATTTCTTTCTGAAGGATCAAAGTTACATTTTAGCAATATGTCCCAAGAGTTTGGAGACCATCATAAAGTCAAATAGATATCATTGGAAATTACCAGGTGAACTTTGGAAGGGAGAATTCAGGAAAAGGAGGAAGCCCACACCAAGACTGAGTTAATGGCTCTGGATCAAAGAAAGGCATGGAGTTCTCACACCTAAAACCAGATCGGAGTGAGCTCCTAGCCTCTACTTCACCTCTTTAACCAAGCACTTCACAACCTACCTTATGTCAAGCCTACACCAGTTTCCAGTCTAGACCTCACCTCAAAGGTCAAGGATGTACAGGGAGGCAGCTCGGTGGTTCCAGATCTGTCCTTCGAGCCAAGGCATCAGCCTCACCAGGAAGCTTGTTAGAAATGCAAAACCTCTACTTCCCCCTTCCTTAACCAAGAGTCAGAATCTGCATTTTCTACAAGATCCTCAGATGATTCAAGCATGGGAAGCACATGCTGTTCTGGGGCCCTTCTCCACCTACTGTAGACCCACTCGTGCCTTTCAATGCTCTACTCAATGCCACCTCCTCCCCGTGCCTTCCCTGATTGTGTCTCTCGTTGCCAGACATTATCTGATTCCACCCCCTCTCAGGAAAGCTTGCTCCTCTGTAATTGAATTCTACCTTTCTTATGCTTACCACCAGAGGCCCGGTGCACGAAATTCATGCATATGGTATGGGGGGGCGGGGAGTCTCTCAGCATGGCCTGTGCCCTCTTGCAGTCCAGGAGCCCTTGGGGGATGTCTGACTGGCAGCTTAGGGAGAAGGCCTAAGCCGGCAGTCGGATATCCTTAGCGCTGCCATGGAGGCGGGAGAGGCTCCCGCCACTGCCCCTGCACTCACCAGCCATAAGCCCAGCTTCTGACCACCTGGGGACAGCTCCTGTGTTGAGCATCTGCCCTCTGGTGGTCAGTGTGCATCATAGCGACCAGTCATGCTGCCGTTTGGTCTATTTGCATATTAGCCTTTTATTATATAGGATTATGTCTCCTGAGCTTTCTAAGGATACAACCAGTCCATCTCTCTCTACTCCCAAGATACTAAGCAAAATAATTTGCACATAGCCAACAAATGGGGGCTCAAAGAGCCACTAAAAACCCATAAAACAATTCCTGGAGTACTTGCTAGCATCCCTACAGAAAAGGAAGGGTAGCTCTGCTTTTTCCACTGCCAATACTTTCACAGAAAAAGACACCTTTTTCTAACAATATGTGGTATTTTCACATTTCTATTATAATCAGCACATTAAAGATATGGGTGTTTAAGCACACACTTTGTGCTTTTCCTAACGGTTCCTTATTATCTACAGAACCATAGACGTTAATTCTCCACCTGAATTACATGCCTGACTTGCAGGCAATTCACAAAGAAATAGTTCATATAAGGGAAACTCCTAAACTTTTTTTTACCCCTGTAATTGGATCTAGCAATCTTGGGCAAGAAATAACACACTATACTGATGAGTTACAAATGTTTCTGGTATGCTAACTTCAACCATATTTGTGTGGGAAGGTAACACCTACATTCTTAAATATTAAAATGAAAATGGTTTCAAGAATATGCAAATCTAACAGTCCCTTCAACATAGCAGTGAACAAAACATAGAATTCCCTGCTCCTTAGCTCATATTCCAAAGGAGAGGTTTTTAAAAATTAAACCCTGGCTCAGTTGGCTGAGCATCATCCCATGCACCAGGAGACTGCTGGTTTGATTCTGGTCAGGGCACATGCCCGGATTGCGGGCTAACACCCCAGTAGGGGGCGCGCAGGAGACAGCCAATCAATGTTTCTCATCAATGTTTCTCTCTCTCTCTCTCTCTCTCTCTCTCTCTCTCTCTCTCTCTCTCTCTCTCTCTCCCTCTCCCTCTCTCTCTCTCTCTCTCCCTCCTTCCCTCCCTCCCTCTCTTCCTCTCTCTCTCTAAAAAAAATCAATTAAAAAGCATATAAAAAATAGCTGACAAATAAATTGATATTAAAAAGCTGTCAGATTTCCACAACTGCAGCTAAGTATGATTGGCAGCATCAAAAAGTAGGAAGGGAGGGGTGGGGGTTGGCTGATTAAGTTACTAAAAAACATTTAAAAATTTTCTAGCCCATGTTGTATCAACTGTCAGGCCCTTTCTGGAGGGCTTTTGTAATGAACAGTATCACTCACCAATACAGAGTGGCAGGCACACAGTGGGGTTGGAGATTTGAGCCATGAGATTTTCCCAAGGCAGATTTATCCGCGAGATGATGAATGAAGCTGCAGAGCTTCTGAACTCAGCACTCACCACTCAACCTTGACTATCTCCACTCCTTTGCCAGGTGGTGATGGAACAGAATAAGCATTTTGGAGATTCAGCAAATTAAAAGCTGAGTGAGGGGTACGTTAAATTGGGGTTTCGCTTTCACTCTCATGCATATGGTTACTATAGCTTTCCCACTGTAAGAATGGCTTCCAGATATGCTTTGATCTGACATCATAATGAAGAAACAGGCCCTAAAATTCACAAGATAAGTGGGTCCCACAATGCCACAGAAGCATGTCGGTGGTGAAGGAGAAACAGGGTTTGAAACGTATGGAGCCAGAAGCTAATCTATGGAGAATTCTTCAGATCATCAAATGCGAGATACTGAAAGTGGACAATTGTGATTTCATCGGTCTCTAAATGGAAGTTGTGCCCTATCAGGAATATATTCAATGCAGTACTACAGTTATAAACACACTCGACACTGTCTCTCTTTTGTTGGGAATCACATAAAATAAAATTTATTAGAATTCCAGGGTCTGTAGGGCAGAAACCTGTGGCAATACTACAAAGAGCGAGTACATATGTGTAGGAGATTACAGTTCATGCCTCCCAGTGTGTCAGTTCACATCCTGACATACCTGACAAATCTTGAACTGACAAGGTCCCACAATCCCAAAGCAAATGCCACATAAAATTCTCCAACGCATTGAAACAGCCTGAAGAAACGAATGTTCCAGTGACGGCCTCCTACACATATTCATCAGAACGTCGATGTACATAGTATAAGAGCATATTGATCATAAAATGATGATGCGTGATACAATGCAGTGGCAATCTAAAATCTGAATTGTTCAGACATACATCTACTAGTACATTTCAGATTAACTTTGTATACTTTTCAGAAGTAAGTGACCATACTAAAGTTCAAAAATGATCCATCTAAGTGGAGGCAAAAACAGAAGGGGAACACTTTTTAAATTTGTAATTTAATGTGTTTCTCATTCTAAATACGCACTGTTGTACCTAGCTTTATATCTTTAATTTTGTATCTTCATCCTTAAAGTGGGCCTCCAAATCATCTGTGTCTCAAGCCGCTCTAAACCTGATCTACTTCCGAGTTTAGGCAACGAAAGGTGAGTGGATGAGACATCTGTTATTTCTGGCAGCAGCCTTTAGGAACCATGAACAGTTTCACCACACACATACACACACACACACACACACACACACAGCCCCAGCAGCCAGCAATGTTCCAGGTGGGGGTGGGTGGCTCTGTGTGAGGCTGATGGGCAACCTGCTTACCACCACCTGGGAGACTGTAACATGAGTAAAAGGAAACGTCCCTTGTGTTAAACCTTGAGATTTCAAGTTTGTTACTAAGCATAATCCAGTTCATGTGACTAGAAAGGCATAATGTTAATTTGCACATGCCCTGATATCTAATACAAAACTACAAATTTACAGGATGAATATGTTACCATCCCCCTCACTCTTAAAGACACCGGATTGAAATGGTTTTACAGACAAACTCTTACCAGATTGTCAGGGTAAAGACATCAACTATGTTACTTAAACTCTTTTAAAACAAACAAACAAAACAATCGGAATTTCAATATATATCTATGTGGTTAGGATTGTAAATAGACTTTTTAAAAATACAGGCCTCGCAATAACCGGTTTGGCTCAGTGGGTAGAGCGTCGGCCTGGGACTGAAGGGTCCCAGGTTCAATTCCAGTCATGGGCATGTGCCTTGGTTGTGGGCACATCCCCAGTAAGGGGCATGCAGGAGGCAACCTATCGATGTTTCTCTCTCATCCATGTTTTTAACTCTCTATCCCTCTCCCTTCCTCTCTATAAAAAAAAATCAATAAAATATATTTTTTAAAAAATACAGGCTTCTTTAATTTTTCAAAATTTCTACAATAAATGTGTATTTTTATTTTAAAAGTTAAATATCACATGTATAAACACTTTTGAAACATCCAGGTTTATTATGAATTAAATGTTAGTGCACTCTAAGAATCAATTCTTATTTGCTTTGAAACCATTCAAGAATATTTTTAAATGACAAAAACTTTAATGGAAAATGAAAGTCACCCTGCAAGTCCATGTAGGTCCTTTTATCAAAGAATTCATCATCCCTAAAGCCTCCCTGATAGCGCACAATCCTATTTACTGGCCGCCACAACACTGAAAAGGCAGGAAGTGGGCACAGAACAGCCTCAAGACGGGCACATGATAAAAAGGGCACTCTTACCCTCACTAATGTAATGGGAAGGACCATAGCCCAGGTCCCTAATACCCATGAAGACCTCTTCGAAGGTTAGACAAGATCCTAACTATATCCCTGGCCCATCACCAAATTAACAGTTCGAAAAGGCCTCACAGTACATAACCTGTTTGCCTTTATTGGATGTGTAGATTATGTTACTGAGCATAGAAATTTTTCTTTTCCCTCAGCACACCTGTTAACACTACAACATGGTGTTGGGGAGGGGGGGTGCAGTTTGGGAAACAAAAAAAGTCATGTGCCGGTCAGTACTCTGTCAGGACTCAGGTCATGCACAATTAAATGCACAGAATGAAAAACAGAAGCTCATTTACCCAGCAGAGTAGCAACTATGAGGACCCTGAGGACCTTGTTAATTAAGTGATGAACACACACTCTCTCTCTCTCTCTCTCTCTCTCTCTCTCTCTCTCTCTCTCTCTGTCACACACACACACACACACACACACATGGCAGGATCCAAAGTACCTTCAGTATCAAAACAAGTCCTAATCAACTCTAGCATATTCAAAATTCAAGTGTCTCTCTTCCCACCAACACTGGAAAAAAAAAAAATATTTGAAAGATGAGACGTGGCTTCTATTGAGCCACAAAGACCCAACAGGCAAGTTGTTAAATTGCTGCTTTTGCTGAAAGACTTCATGATGTGCAGAACAGAAAACCCAGAGAGGGCAGTGGAGGGGCGAGGAAGTGACTGCACTTCAGAAACCAGCTCCACTCTCAACGCACAGCTGATGCTAAGACAGGATCCTGGAGACAGAACCACAGAAGAGGCACACGGCCTTCCCCACCATCTCTCTGAGTCCTGAAGCTGCTCTCATATGGACATGTCTGTTAAATGACAGATCACTTAAAACATAAGCTCGCAGGCCGTGTTGTATGGTCTGCCGAAGGGGCTCGAGTAGCTAGCTGTGCACTGCAAGGCACCGCAGAGGTACAATGCCTTGCATTTAGAGGAGCATCAATAATGTGAGGATGCTCTCGGGCTCTGTACTGGGCACAGCCCACTCTTTATCTCTGATGTTCACATCTCCATCGTGTGGCCCAGAAGGTTTGGCCCAGGGCCCAAAGCCAGTTCCTCCCATACCTCGCTCTCGTACACCAGAGGACTCACATGTAACTGATCCAGGGTCTGTTCCTTCCCCACACACTTGCCTAAAGGAAAAGGCATCACTATATGATTTCTCTCAAGGAACACAAGCTAGGACTCAGGGAGCCAGTGCCACGAGGGTCCCTGACAAAGCACACAATGTGATTACCCTCCTCAAAGGATCTAACTGCTCCTGCATTGTTCTAAGAAAAATAATCCGAGAGTTGCTCCCCGCCAGGGAGGCCATCCCATGAGGAAGGTAGATTTAAAATAGTACCCTCCTTTCCCCGAGACAATAACCAATAAGCAAATATTATTTGGTTCCGAATCGAAAGCGCTAAATGCAGGTATAAATTATTTAACCTGCGATCAATGTCCCTGCATTTGCTCTTTGGTTCCATTGTTTTTCTGCAGCTAAACAAACAGTGTCCAAGCTACGGATGTGCGAGATGCAGAGAGAGAAAAGAAAACCACCTGCTCGGGAAGCGCAGGGATGCCCTCGGGTGCTAGGGCCGCCAGCGCTGGCAGGGAGCAGGATTCGTTAGGCAAAGGAGCTGGGGGCAGCGGCAAGGAAGTCTTGTTGAGAAGAAAGGGAGACATGAGGACAAAAGGGGGAGGCTGCCAAGGGCTCAGGGGGGTCAGAGGAAAAGAGGTGGCTGAGAGGACCAGGGCAGTGGCAGGCCTGTCACCAGTCCAACCAGCCACACCCCAAGCTGTGCTTCCCTCAAACCCTGAGGCTTTGTTTCATTTGAGGACCGAGGACCGAGGGCGAGGACTCTTGCTGGCGGCTCCAGGAAGCTGTGGGCTTGGTTCGGTCTGAGTTTGGCTCACGCCACAAGACCTACTCAATAGTACTCCTGACACATTTTTCAGGCTGGGTTCTACTGTGTAAATAACTTTGCTGTTTTGGAATCCTAAAGCCATACATAAGTTAAGAGCTGAACTTAGGAGACTGTATTTCAATTTCATTTTTGGCAAGACTCTCACCTTTAACATAAATTATTACACGTACAAAGCAGCGAGCACGAGTGCACACAGATTAAACCCAGGGGTAACTTGTCAACAATGGCTCACCAGAGCAGATCGGTCCGGACAAATTAAAACAGGCTTGGACGGCCAACTACCCAGAGCACACAGACAGCGTGACCCAGTGAAGTGCAAAATATTTTCTTGTTTTTAAAATAAAGTCCAGAAAATCTTATTATGTGGTTTGATGATATAATTGCACATGATTTCAGAAAACCACAGGACGGTCAGCATCTTTCTTGCCAAAAGAATACCCACAAGATTTTACTGCAAATGCCACCCTGCCCAAGAAGCTCCATTTCAGACCGTTTACATTACTAATGAAGCACATGAGGAGGACAGGACACAAGCTGCTTCAAACCACACACATCTGAAGATGTTTAACTGCTGCTGGCACTCGCGTTTTCTGTCCCCCCGTCCTGGCTTCATGGATAAAGCAGAAATCCCAGGGAGCAGCATCACATCCCCGCGTGATCCAAAAGCAAACCCTTCCCCCTTCCCTTCCTCTCTGCTTTAATTCTTGGGCACTTCCCCACCCTAACATCTCTGACAAACCACCTTAATGGGATGGGAAAGAGCACCGCTTTTCTCATTGAGTGAGAAACAAGACCAAGAGTAGCTTTTTTCTAAAGATTAATTTAGGCTAAAATAATGAACCATAAATTGTAAGAGGCCAGGAGGAGACCCACCTGGAAACTCCAGCTCAGCCATGAGACCTGTGGACCCTAACAGCCCCCAGCACCTCCACATCATCCAACGGGGGGGCCAGGAGAAGAGCCTCCTTAAGGGTCCAAACCTGGGACTCCACGGCCTTGCCACAGAGTCAAGGACTTGCGGATTCAGGTATCCTCCTCCCTACCTTCCTACACAACTTCAGCAGAGTCCTTGTAAATGGTGTCCCCAGCTCGAGAGACAATAAAAACTGTGGCCCCTACAATGTGACCCTCTGGTCCCTCCTAAGAAATTCAACATCTGCCAAGTCCTGCTGCCGGTCAAACGCTGTGCTAGGCCCTGCCATTGCATCCTGTGAGAAACATAGTTGGTTTGCTTGTTTTTAATTGAGATATAATTCACACACCGTAAAATTCACCCACTGAACGTGTATAATTCAGTAGTTTTTAGTCTATTCAAAGTTATGCAGTCATCACCATTATGAACGTTTTTATCACCCCAAGAGCACATGGTTTTTAATCACCATCCTATTGACGACAAAAATGAGGGAAAGATGTTAAGTAACCAATCCAAGATTACAAAGTCTCATTAGTAACAGAGTTGGGGTTCAAACCCAGTCCCTCAACCCTTTACAACACTGGGCACTGCTGATCA